GTCGACGGTGATGGCAGTGGTTGGTGCAGGCGGTGGTGGTGGCTGTGAGTGAGATTTGGTGGTTGGAGGTGGTCGGCGGTGATGGCAGTGGTTGGTGTAGGCGGTGAAGGTTGGCGGTTGGGTTGAAAACAACGAAAACGCGTTTTGGAAATTTTGACCAAGTTATAACTGAAAACACTCGAAACGACATTTTTGTCATTTTGTGTTTTCTTCATAAATTTTAAAGTCATTTTCAAAAACGCGTTTTCGAAAATAGGAAAGAGAACGCGTTTTCAATGTTTTGGAAAATCGAAAACAGAAAACGACTTGAAAACAGCAAAGAGAACAGGCCCTTAATGTCCATATGAAACTTTCAATTAGAGCAAATAAGTTACCATCAAAGTAAAAGTAAAATATATGTTCTAAAAAAAATTTAAAAAGTAACTTTTTTTCTTTTTTAAACTTAAACCAAACATACGTCAAGAAAAGAAAATGAAATTTGTCTACCTTGATTTTATGTCACATTAAATGTCGAGCACGTGGAAGTCGAAAAGTCTCCTAGCCATGTAATGTGCCCCAAAAGCTGAACAAAAATGTTGGCCTGTGACCATTAAAAATAAAATACATAAGTTATTTGCAATTTTATTTCTGTGGTTAGGCATGTTACCACTTTTGTTCACTTTACAAGGTTTTCTAGGGGCTTTGGACTTTAGCTACAAATGGATAAAAGTGATGAAAAAGAGAAGTAAAATATTCATTTCACAGTCCCACTCCCACTTTCACTTATTTTAATTTAAAAAAAAAAAAATTGAACCCCGCCCCGCTCCTAGAGTATTGTGAAGGTAAATTGCGGGATGTGCCTTAACAGGTTAGGGTACAAGAATTGTCATACTGATGTCCATAAAAAGTCCAATTCATACCTTGTAAGAAACGTGAATCGAACCCTTCACTGCGGCTGCCAGCTCAATTAAGACTACGTCACTCATATTCTTTACACCACTGAACTATGTACCAGGGGGCTTATTTAAATTTTAATAAGCAGCACAAGAAGAGGTGAGTATTTTTTCTTGAAACCATCCGAATCAAATTGGAATCGAAACTTGATAGAATTGGTTCATTTAGTTCTATTTCTTTTGTAATATCTCACAATCAGAATTTCTTTGGACCGAACCAAACCATGACTACTCCTAATTGCAAGGAGCTTAATATAAATTTTTGAGGTCGACTGCATGAATATATTTTTACCTATTTGATGAGACCAGAAAAAATTAATATAATTCTTTCAGCTTTTCTAAGACTAAATGCTTCATTCCCTTTTGAAGTGTAAAGGTTGACAAGTAGATGATGAACTTATCTATAGACTATAAAGTAACAAGGAAGACATTTTTCCATGTGTGGATTTAAATTGAAACATACCTATAAAGGTTCTCTAGTGAACTAAAAACATGTCATTTTGAGATATTATATCATTAGTCCATATCGAGGTCCATAAGTATATAGTTCTTAAAAGACATGTTGTGGTTTGATACAAATTCTAGTGGGTATTGGAGT